TATTTTTCTTCTTCTTCTTCCTCTTCTTCTTAGATAGCCCTATTCGGTTTGGTAAATATTTACTACTTTCTGACCTAGGCTAGGTATTCTGATTACTTCTGTTCTATTTTAATGATTGCAAAATAAACACATACAGCAAACGTTAGCTTTCAAAAAGCTTTTTTAGCACAGGTATCCAGTGTGCCATCGCAAATCCACTAACACACCCTACGCTTTACAACCATACAAATTGCTCAAATCTCTCTCACTCTCAACTTCAGATCTAATTGCACTAAAGGACTGCTTCCTACCTAGTACTCTTGATGTGGACGGCAGCAGTCCCAAAAAGGAACGCTTTCAAGAACTCTTCCTGGATAGCGTCTTCCAGGCGGACGTAATGAAGGAAACAAAACGTTTTCTAGTAGAACGAAAGCTGGCGCCAGCTGAGCCAAATGCCTTCAAGAACCTACTACGAGCCCTGTGGTTTTCATCGTATAAACGCGGAAAGTGGGTCAAGCCTTTTTTTTTTTCAAAGTTAATTTCTTACTTGAATGGGTGCACGGTGCACTTTTTCGTTATAACAAGCATGTGTACTTTAATACTTGATAGTAGCTCATTTTACAAATCATAAAAATTACTCCTCCTAGGCGCGAGAATACATGTGGCTTCGAGCACGTATTCTTAGGTGAAAAACGAGGCCAACGTGTATTAGGTTTTCACTACTGGCTTACCTTCTACCTTCGTGAGAAAAGCGGCGAAATCAACTATCTGGGTCATATTAAACAGGTAGGTTTGCAGCCATCGCACTTATAATTTTCGTTAAAAGCTCTGAGATTGCCGTAGTTGTCAGGAAATTTTTTTGCACAGAGTAGATTAGTTTTTCCTTACGGTGGCGTACGGACTTCTGATGTGCGCTTTTAACCTGAAAATAAATAACTTTAATAGGATCGTAGTACTACTTAGTGTGCAGTCCAGTCATGTCAGGAGCCTGGCTTTTATACTAACTTCCTTCTGACTGCCTCGTTAAACCACCATCTGTGAAAATGACTTCTAACGTAAGAGGAATGCTTCTTGTAGCTTTTCGATTTCCCTCAGAATTTATAAAAAAAGTTTCAGAAAACATGCACGAAATTAATTAAAACAAGCGTTGTATTCGCCTGACGTTTCGAAATCTGTCGACAGAATTAAATATGCGAGTTCTAGGGAGCACTTCAGAAGAAGAAGAAGAAGAAGAAGAAGAAGAAGAAGATGATGATGATGATGATGATGATGATGATGATGAAGAAGAGGAAGAAGAAGAAGAAGTGATCACTAGAACAAGAGTATTATTGTCCTGACGTTTCGGATTCCGTTGGGAATCTTTAATCATAGGTAATCGTAGAAAAGTCTGAGACATACGCAGATGAGGTTGATACATGCACAGGCTGCACGGTATTTAAAGTTCATAGCGGTCATCCGCATGTGTACTATAATTTTCAGTTACTGTAGCCGCCGCTTGAGGTCTTAATTGGTGCGGTAATGGCTTATTAATTGCATACCCCAACGAGAGAAGAAGACACATAAAACTGGCCTAAACGTTTGTCGAGCTCCTCAGTGCGTAAATAATTTATCGGAGGCGGTCAGCCGTCCACTCACCCCAATTGGAGTTGGAGTTGCGCACAAGCCAGAAGCAACCTACAGACACCGGATCATGAGACCGAAAGACCCACTGCCACGGCAGGAAACGGCTGGGATCCTTTACCGTATCAGGTGCAACCGCGTGAGTCACCAGCTGCTCGATTCAGGATTCTCCGGCCTCCAGTCCATCAACAAACGCAACGATTTGGCGTTCCCATACGGTATACTAAAAAGCTTTCTGAGCAAGAGAATCGGTCACGTGATAAGAACCGTGCGCAGCAACAACCCTGAAGATATCGGACATAATTGTTCCGCAATTATCCAGTCCTCACCTGACGCAGACAAGAACATTGTGGCAATTAATGAGCCATCACCGCACAAATTAAGACCTCAAGCGGCAGAAGTGGATGTTGTGAATGCTCAGCCATCTAGTTCCCCAGCCTTGACGCTAGATGACACGTTGGCTTCTGCCTTCCCCAAGTGGCGACCAGCTTTGGTTAGCTTGTGGCTCAGCAACTAATATAGATTTGGCCGTCAGTTGCATTTGTTTATAGGCTTTGGAGGTTCCTGAACCATGACTCTAGGACCTCGATACCCGCAATTGTCGCCTTTTGCGAGAATTTCGGTCTTATCAAATTTTAATGTGTGGTCGGGTCTCGTCGAACGAACCGCTACTTGATAACTGACGCAATTTCTCCGACTCATTTTGGAGCTCATAGCCAAACCGGTCATAGAACGGTTAGAGCCATCGGCCTTCTAACACCACAGACTGCAAGTCTGGGTGCGCTATGTGGATGACGTCTGCCTAGAGCAGATGCTCACGTTCAGAGATCGTCTCAACAGCGTCATCCCGGACGTGCATACATGTAATAAATGCTTGTCCCAGCGACAAAATTTACTTCCTCTTAAAATTCTTTCTTTTTTCACTTCGTAGCGAATTATGTATTCCGTAAGACCGTGAAGTTTCCATTCGTAAACCATCGTATCTGTTCATGTAGTACTGCTACAAAATTAAATGAGCACTATTGAACGTCTACCTTATAGTGCCGATAAATTTATGACTTTTCTAAGACGCAATGTACACAACAGGTTGGATTCAAAATTATTCAGAGTACGAATAGCGTTTTTAGACCGTAATATACCCTTTCTATAAGTATACAAGTATACTTTTCAAAAAAGTGAATGCAAGAAATAAGCTTTCACCCGACGATTTCCAATTTATAAGGATGTAACAATAAAAGGAAAAAAAATCATTCTTCTTAAATCACCTTTTTTTAAGGAAAATGGCAACCTGCGTTGACTGAAATATATTTGGATTATATTGCAAAACACCAAAACTTGCGAAATAAAAAGAAGCACTCGCAAACGGCATTATGCATTTTTGCATATAACTCATTTATTTTCCTTACCCTGATAAATTGAAATATATTTTACATTTACAAAATCACAAAACTATGCCCTAATCCACTCGTTTGGTAGCGAAGTACGCCTTCTACAAAGCTGGTCACTACATGCCAGGCATATTTCGGTTTTAGAAAAATTTAAAAATATTATATTTTTAGGACTGTTAAATATTCATAAGTAAAATATCGTGTCCGTTACTTCATTAATATTACCAAATATGTGTACAGTATGATCCAAATCTATTGCAAAATTTTATGAGGACTATGCATTTTTTTCACATTGCGTAGAGAAATACGTGTTTTCCTTAGAAAGGATGTTCACAACATGCCGTTTCGAAAAACTTGAGTTCAGATGTGAGGGTTGGTAGGTTTCATAATTATTAGGCAATTTAAAAACTTTTTAGTCGACACAGACACCTTCTTTAAGAATCAAAATTTAAAGAATTTGCTGTCAAAAGAGTACATAAATATAATGTTAGTTTAAATTTTTAATTTAAAATATGCTTATATTTATAATTGTGGTAAAAACCAAGGAGTACAATATATACTACGTGAGTAGCCGTTTCGGCGGAATCAATTTTTTCTAAGCAGCCCCGTTAAAAGGCCGACATCTTGATGTGACTGAAATCACTTGAAATAAGGCAGCACAATAAGCAATATTGCAACCCTATGCAAAGCCTTTCGCGAGTGATTATCAATCTTTCGCAAATATCGCCACTTTTCATGAAATTCTAATCGTACTGTAAATTTAAGCATTAGGATACTCGAAACGGAAATAATTGTCAAAATTTCAGGTACCATCTGTCAGCAGGTTCCTATATACGATTTCAGAGTCGGACGCCAATGGGTGCTTTGTACGCTGTCGCTTTTGAATGGGACAAAGTCTGGAAAAAGAACTTTGCTCGCTTTCTGATTGGTAGCTCACCGGAGTTTGATATGGCGCTCTACACAGCCGTCTTCCTGACGGCCAATCAACGCACGCCAAAGCAATTTCGGTTAGGAGTTTCGCTGAAACATAACAGCAGTCGAATTGCAGTTCAGTGTTACAAACTGGAGCAGACTAAAATCGGAACCTGCTACATTGTGTGAATGCGTTCACACGCACGCGCACGTGAAATTGCCAATTTTCGGAATGAGAACTTTGGGCAAAGAATGTTTCTTTTCAACTTTTCCACCATTTGCGCTAAAAATTTTAAGAATTATACACTTCGGCTAATTTTTCTTTCCATGAATCCTCACAGTTAACAGTCGTCTGCAAATTTTCTGTGTCAGGGCTCTGTTGCCCTTTGTTTTAATTTCTGCCTTCTGGGTAATTATTTTATCGTTTTATTTCCATTTTTCCCATCCTCGTTGGAGTGTTTCCAGGTGTTCACTTCATTTTCTATACATTCTTGTAGTTATGATTCTGTCAAAAAAATCGAAGAGTCATCAAATCTTAATTCGACAAGGTAATTTAAATATTAATTTGGGGCGGTTTAAGCGTCTACGGTGGTTATTGGTGGTTTTGGGGTTAGTAATGCTCGTGCTGGTACTAGTGTTTGTGTTGTAACTGACAATAGTAGTCGTGGTGGTGTTGGTTTTGACGGTGGTGGTGCTATTGGTGGTCTTGTCGCAGCTACTAGTGTCAACAAACAGAAGATTTCCACAAATCGCAAGTCAAGGAAGACGTTGTTGGTGGACAAACGTTTATTGCCGCAAAATAGACAGTACATAGGCTGTGTTGTGTGCCAACCGCCAACGCGTCTGCTTTGCAGATGTGACTGCGAATTTGTGTGTTCGCTGCAGTCAAGCCTTTCCTGCCGGGCAGTGGAAGCATAATCAGTCGTCTGCCGCCAATCAGACGAAGCGGAATTATCGATTAGCTATGTGTGTATGCGCGTCTGAAGTGGTGAGCGGGTCGATAACACGCGGGGTAGAAGACTAAGCATGGGTGTAAGCAATGGCAGAGCGAACGCAGAGTCGGTGCGGCAAGTTCCCACAGTCTGCTCGCACTGCTCACGCACATTCAACCATCGCATGGGTCTACTAGGCCACATGCGCAC